AAAAGAAGAATGGCAGAATTCATTGGACACGTTCTTCCGCACACGCGAACAAAATTTAGGGTCTCGTGGCTACCATATTTCCACAGAAAATTCATCAGATTGACTCTTTTAGGTTTATAATTGTTCATTAATCATCTACTCCCTCCGTCCGGAAATACTTGTCCTTGAAATGGTTGTATCTAGACTTATTTTAGTTATAGATACATCCATTTACAACTATTTTGAAGAAAGTATTTCCGGACGGAGGGAGTACTAGAGAAACTGTTCGGCAACGGCAATGACAGACGATTTGAGTTGACGAGGAAAACACCAAAACTTTGGGTTGAAACATCTCTTGCACAAACGTAATGCGGGTAAATTTTCACTCTTTGCGACGGCCCAACGCAACCCAGTTGAATTTTAGATGTTCAGTAATAATCATCTACTTAAAAGGGAAACGAGAGAGAAGGAGAATGGCACCTGTGGGAGAGATCAAATTTCCCCATCTTGTAGGGGGCGAGGAGGGGGGTTGCGCTAGCTGCGTTGCTCATCTTGCCTTCCTCTCTTCTTTGGTTCCTTTCTTCTTTCTCTCGATCTCTTCCTCCTCCGCTGGGCGCTCCTCATTTATATACCGCCAAAGCTGCCCTCCTTGTAAGAACTCGGCAGAGGAACCGAAGTCCAAACTTGCATGCTAGTAGCCGTCAGGCGCAGGTTCAACGAATCTGCCCTCCTTGAGACTTGTACTCCTGACGGCTAGCATGACGGCTAGCATGCTATGCTAGCCGTCAGTATGACTCTCGAGATCACTGAGAGAAGGCCAGCGGGCCACAACCTCTTGTCGATGTCACTGATGATGTAGTCCTCCCGGCGCAGCACAGAAAACCACTTGTTGAGATTCATGGTGTGCAGTGCAGCACGTGTGGCACATGCCGGGCGTCTTGGGTAGATGCTGTAGGTCCGAGTCGAGCGACGGCTTGCGACTTACGACTACTATGCTGGGCGGTCGCGGCCAGCCTCTCCGTCGGCGTGTGCTCGCCTTCCGCGACGGGATCATCCTCTGTTCTCAATCCTCGTTGACGGCGACGGGTCATGGTGGGCGCGCGCCTTGCTCGGGGAGGAAGAGACTGTCGTGGAGAGTGGATTC